TTTTTTTTTTTAAAAAGCTGGTAATTTTGTGTTCTAAGATTGGGGAGGACTTTACTTGGAACTGGACCCTGGCCTGGAGGCTTTGGCCCCTCTCAGTTGGAGGCACGTGACTGAAGCTCCGCTCTGTGTGCCTCCTGCCAGGGGGCCTGGTGGCCAGTTCTGGAGAGGGGCTAGCTCTCTGGCTTTCCCACAGGGCCTCTGTGGGCCTCTGTGGGCCACGTCCGAGTTTACCTTCTGCGGGTCGTGCAGGCCGATCCACACGGGCAGGTTCCTTTGGTAGCCACCTATGTACTTGGAGATGGTTTTGGCTTCCTGTAGGTTCTGTATAGACGCCAGGTGGGCTCCGTTCCCAAAGGACTGACACTCGAGCTGTGGGCAAGGAGAAGTCGCGGTGATGCCTCGAGGTTTAAAAGCACAGCCCTCGCCTGTGCCACGCAGTGGGGACTCTCACAACCCCACCGCCTCAGGGAGTCGTCATCCAAAGAAGATGCCCTGGCCTTCCTGTCACCAAGGGAGGGGACAAGTGCCGGGTCTCAGAGGAGGAGGCAGCTCCAGGCAGGGGCCTGGGCTGTAGGGTCTGTGGAAGCGCCTGGGGTCCTGGTGTTGCCTCTCATTAGTGTATATGACCTGGACAAGTCACTGCACCTCTCTGAGCTCACTTAGTTTCATTATCTGGAAACTGAGAAAATGATGACCGCGACCCAGGGAGTTGTCAGGAGGCCACATTTGTCATAATTATGTTTTATAATACTACCTCCCAAACAAATCTAAGAAGCCACTGATTATAAAATGTGCTATTCTCTAACCTGAAACTTACTGTCCAATGAAACCAAGCAAACACTTTATACGCATTTTATCGTTAGAGATATACACTGTGTTATGGGATCTGCCTACGGGATAGAACTTTAATGTAATAAAAACATGGATTGGCCGTGGCTGCTACTCCAGTACTTGCCTTCAGGCTCTTGCTTGGGGTGAGGTGTGGTCCCTGTGTAATGATAGCTCAGTCCTCACACTCGCCATCCACTCTACAGCTCCTAACTGCTTTTTTACGGGGAGTTGCACAGGACTTTCAAATGTGTGAGGCATGGAGGCCAGATGACCAGTCAGCATGTAGTGGGTGCACCAGGCACAGAACTTCCTGGGCCGGAGAGGAGACGGGCTGGGAGTGTTTAAGCGATATTTTCCCTCCAAGCTCACACAGCTGGTGGCTGCGAAGCTGGAACAGGACTCAGACCTCCCTCCGCCTCTGCAGCCGAGATCGGCTCTCCCTGTCATCCTCCCCGTCTGTCCGCTGGATGGCTTCCAGGAGCCGCGGGCACTGAGATTGGCCATCAGCGCTGGCAGGGAGCCAAGAACAGCAGGGACCGCGGCGTCCAGAACCTCCTCTGGCCTCCGGTGCTGCATGGCTAACTGCCAAGGCTCGGTCTCGATCCTGTGGACTCGTTTCTTTGCCTGGAAAACCTGAACTGAGTATCTACCGCGTGCCACCGGCTTTTGGCAACTTGCTTTAATAAGTCCCCCTGACAGCCCCCGGGGGTCAACGTGTTACCCCCATTTTACAGCAAGAAAACTGGTAAAGTGAAGTGCTTCTGTGACTAAGGAGTGTCAGAGCCCTGACTTAAACTCAGGTCTGAGGAGCTCCCAGATCCCGGTCAGCTTCCTCCACGCACCCGCCCCGCGGACTCCCCACGCTCCCCTGAGTAACTCATTCGACTGGCTCCTTGGGTATCTCTGAAGCCGCGGTGAGCTGAGCTGATGTGTTTGTCAGGCCATGGGGACCCTAAGCTCTCCATCCTCTGCCTCACGGTCTGTCAGGGTCTGAGGCCTGAGCTCCAGGCCTGGCCACACCCCCGCTCGTCCTGTCAGCTCTCCTACTGCAATGCAATGGCTCTGTCTGTAACTTCTCAGCTTCTCGTCCTCCTCTGACTCTCACAGTTCTCTCTCTTACTGACAGTGAACTCCCGGAGGGCAGGGGCTGTGTCCTGTTCATTCTCACATCTTCGCAGCCCACTGAGGGTCCGGGCAGAGAGCGCCTGCTCCATCAATGCTTGTAACATGGGCTGAGTTGAGCACACAGCCCTCTTCTCTCCATGTCACCAGCCAGGTGACTTCTCGGGATGCCCAGCAAGGACCCTTGATTCGGAGTCAAAGGAGGTCTAGAGCCCAGGGTGGCCCCCGGCTTTGGACAAGCATGTCTTACCTCAGCATCGGACCAATTCCTCAGCTTCCGGAAGTACCCGTAGCAATGGGACTTGTGGAAAAACCACCCGGTAGCACAGCTGGGCCTCATGAGGATGTCTGCACGCAAGCACAAGGCAATGACAAGTTCTGATGGCAAAAGCCATCCATTTCCCCCTCGATCCCGTTACAGACCTGGCGTCCCTGGAATGGAAGGGAGGCTCGGACCCTCCTAAACTGCGAATACTCTAGGCCAGTGGTTCTCCACCTTCCTAAAGCCGCAACCCTTTAATACAGTTCCTCATGTTGTGGTGACCCCCAACCATAAAATTATTTTCGTTGTTACTTCATAACTGTAATTTGCTACTGTTAGGAATCGTCATGTAAATATCTGATATGCAGGATGTATTTTCATTGTTACAAATCGAACATAATCAAAGATAGTGATGAATCACAAAGACAATATGTAATTATATATGTGTTTTCCGATGGTCTTAGGCGACCCCTGTGAAAGGGTCGTTCGACCCCAAAGGGGTCGCGACCCACAGGCTGAGAACCGCTGCTCTAGAGTGTGAATCCTCCCAGCCTTTCCCCAAGGAGACGACGGCCTCTCACCAGGACGGCTGTGCACTGGGGAAAAGGACATAATCCGATCCTTGGAGGATTACTGGACGCTGACTCCGAACCGACACTAATTCCAGGACAACCAAAGTGTGGCTGTGTTCCACCAGCCAGCGGAGGGGCGATGGAGTCAGCTGACCAGCGGAGTTTGGCTCAGGTCCCTCTCACAGTGGGCCCCGGGGTCCCCACCCCATCTGATGGCTATTTCCCATCAACAAATGCATCGGGTGGAACCCCCACATTGGTACTGAGATCCAACAGCTATATGTCGAAGCACCCAGGAGAGGGCGAGGGCTCACATTGGTAGCTTCAGGCATGACAAGGAGGGAGTGGCTTTTTGCCCAGGAAGACATAGGACAGGCTAATGGCAGCTGGGCTGAAAACTGAGATGAGCTGGGCTGCGAGAGAGTACCCCGGGGAGGGGCCATGTTAGTCAAAGGGGTGGGTGAGCAGAGGAGTGGAGGCAGGAATGGGCAAGGAAGGGTAGGGTGTCCTCCAGGCAGGCGTGGGAGAAAGGGGAGAGAGGGAGGATTGGGCCCAGGAGCCAAAGAAGCGTGGCCCAGAGCGGCAAACTCTCCCTGTTGGGCGATTGGTGAATGGGCTGCATCCCTGAACTGTTCAGATTGTCTTCTTTAATCACCAGACCTCCAGAGAGAGAGATGTCCACCCCACTGCACAGATAAAACCTCAAAGAGGTGAAGTGGCCTGTGGACGTCATGCAGATGGAGATGAGGTGGGACCTGGGCAAGGGCGAGTGTTCCTAGCAGCCTCAGCCCCCAGCCCCACCTCTCCTGGTGCCAGAGCTCCTGGTCACCACGTGCGTGGCGAGAGCCTTCAGCCGCTGGCGTGTCGCCTGGATGCAACAGCCTGTTTACTCCACCGCTGCGAGCTGTGGCCTCGGGAGCACCCTGTGAGCTCTCTTAGCTTTAGTGTAGTGTTTGCACAGTGACTGACAATATGTACCTTTCTCATGAGATTGTTGGGAGGATTCAAGGAGACGCTGCATGGACAGCGATTAGCATAGAGCTGGTATGTAGTAATTATTCAGTAAATAGTAGCTACTTAAGTAATTGCAGCTATTAAAATTAATCATGTTATCATCATAACCAGTGTAATCCTTCTGAAAATGGTCACTGGATGGAAGTCTTCCATTGCCCACCAGTCATGTTGCTTTTCTGTCTCCCTATGTGTTGAGTGAATTGTTTCAGGTGAAAGGCAGCCTGAGGGCTGGGACAAAGAAATCACTGCTGAGGCCACAGGGTGATGCTCTTGACCATCAAGTCTCCCTGAGAGAGAAAACGCCCTCCTCCTTCCCACATGCCCCTTAATGCAAGCTTAGACTCCTTCCACAAGCCATAATGCAAAGAATAACAGGATGTGTTGTGAGAACTCCCCTCCCCACAAGACAGTAGAATCAGGAGAAAGCCTTTGTACTGCTGGGAGGGAGAGCTGTGAAAAAGGAATGGATGGGCCGGGGGTGAGTGTTCTGCCTTTACCTTCTCTGAGGGGGGAACCAGAGAGGTTCAGTGAACCCTCGAGTGGGGGCTTGTTTCCTCACATCCCAGCATAGAGTGTGGGCAAATTTCAAGCTGCCTCAGGGAAGCCAGAACCAGAGCAACAGGAACTACTGGTTAGTTGGTTAGAAATGGCATGGGAGGCGGCTCTGCAGCATGAGTCTTACACATGCTGGCATGGTTCAGAGGTGTCTGAGTGCCCCGGGTCCATGGGTGGTTGGGACAGCGGGTGGCTGGACCACAGACATCAGCCATGGCCACCAACGTGATGCCAAAGAGCCCTGCTTCTCTCTGTGTTTCCTTCCAATCCCCCCTCCAGCCAAGGTCGTCCCCTCTGGGTGAAGAGCCGGGTTGTATACAAGAGGCCCTTTTCTCAACAGAAGTGGGTGGGGGGCATGGTTTCCTCATTTACCCCCCCCGCCCCCCACATACAATGCCCAACAGGGCCATAGGGAATGGTGGGAGCATCCAGGACAGCCAGAGCACCCCCTAACTTTACTGAGAGACCTCGGGCATGGCTCTACCCCTCTTGGGACCGCATTTTCCTCATCAATAGAACAATGGAGCCTACATTGCAGTTCCTTTCATTTCAGATATTTGTTGAGACTTATCTTTAGCTCACTCTTCCCGTTTTCTGCACTGGTGGATTCTAGGGTACTGCCCCCCGCTTTGTTGACATGTTATTTTATACTTGATGCTAGGTCGTTACCCTTGTAAAATCCATCTTTCCAACCCAAACTCCCCATCTGGTCAAGTAGGAAAGTAAGGCATAAACGTTGGCAGTTCCGAGTACAGCCCTCATTTACTGATAGCGAGGTGTCAGGTGTTTTAAACACATATCTCTACCCTTCACAAACTTGCAAAATAATTGTTATAATCTACATGTCGTTGATGAGTTGACTATGGCTCACAAGCGTACAAGGTTAGAATTCTTGATTCTAAATTCCTGGCATTTATTTTTATTTACCATATCATCCTGTCTTTCGTTTTTGCCTTTAGCATCTATTTCCTGAAGCGCCTAAATATTTTGGGGGGCAAATGGATCTGGCTGTGCCGTGTGAGTGCCACGAACCCTGGCCGTGGGCTCTGTTCCAGCCCAGGGCCCGATACTCACCGCCCAGGGCGCCGGTGCTGGCCACCAGCAGGAGCAGCCACACGCTCTTGGAGGCCATCCTCCTCTTCCCCGGGGGCAGACGAGCTCCGGAACCGTTTACCGAAAGGATCTCAGAGCCCTGGCCAGTGTTCCCTGGAAGCTCCTGGGTTCACCTAGACCTGCAATCTGAACACATGTGCGCTGGTGAGATGGAGCTGGGAATTCAGGTGCCAAATCACATATGGAGAACAAAAATATTTTTCTGGCAAAACCAAGGTTATACACCAAAGGGCATCTTCAACTAAATGTTTAGGAGAGTGGGAACATTGAACGTATGAGGTGTTGTTCACATCTGCAAGGTCTCTGGGCCAGTGCCAGGGACCTCGCTGTACTGGGCTGAATGGTTTAAAAGTCCATGCAGCGGCATTAGGTATTTGGTGGAGAGCCTGCCCCTGCTATTCTCAGGGGCACCGCCAGAGGGTGTCGCAGGCAAGATTTCTCACAGACCAGGAAGTAATGGGCTTGCTGTAGACAAGTCAATCAAATCAAAGCAGTGGATTGTTTGGTGCTAAATTTCAAAGCGAATATATGCTCTCATTAGTGCTGGAATCTCCGGGGACAGGCAGGGAAATGCCTCCCAAGGTTTTCTCAAGCTGCTTCCCACATATTCTCCCCCACCCCCCCGACCCCCTGCCATGGACAGCCTGAGGACCCCTTGTTTGTATATATATCTATATATTTTAGTATATGTGCTGCCGAAACGAGCACAATATATCTATATATTTTAAACTATCATTCACATCAGTTCAGGAAAGCACTGCGTTATAGCTGACTTCCTGGGTTTGCTAGCTCCTCTCGCTGGGATCTTGGGAAGACATTTTCCGTTTACATGCCACCATCCCCATGAATTCTGCACGTGTTAAGGCCAGAGAAGACTTGGAGCCTCGGTAGCTATCTCGCCGTAGGGCGCCATCAGTGCTGAGTTGCTTGTCTCAGGGGTTCTGAGGCCATTCCAGGCCCAGGTCACGCCATACTTTCCCATGAGACCCCCGCAGTCACTTCAATGAAACAACCACAGTCCAGAGAGGCACAGCGGACTCCCCACGCTCCCCTGAGTAACTCATTCGACCGGCTCCTTGGGTATCTCTGAAGCCGCGGTGAGCTGAGCTGATGTGTTTGTCAGGCCATGGGGACCCTAAGCTCTCCATCCTCTGCCTCACGGTCTGTCAGGGTCTGAGGCCTGAGCTCCAGGCCTGGCCACAC